GCAGGCGGGGAACGTTGGAGTCCTCCTTCACTGAAACAAGCAAGCCTCATGTTCGCTTCCAGCTGCCTGGCTGCCGGCCGCCATCTTGGCTGGCAGTTAATTTGCATGTCACCCTGATTAGCCAATGGGAAGGGTAGCAGTCGTACGCTAATTACCATGTTTCTCTTTTATTAGATAGGATTCATAAAATACTTGCACTCATTAAATGACACAGTGTTGAAGTCCCTTTGCAAGTGACTGCTTATGAACCTTAATGCTAACTCTATGTTAACTTCATAGCAAGACTAATTTCAAGTCTCCCCAGTAACTCTACCACAAACTTAACTTTCATAAAGAACTCAAATCAAACCTTAGGCTGAAGCATAGTCATTGTACAAATGCTACTCCACACACTAACCAAAACATTCATCCAAATCTTAAAAGAATAAAAAATAATTCGTATAAATATATGATATCAGCACATCTGATGGCATTGTAGTTCCCATCTAAAATCATAACTACTCTGGCCCTAGCCTGTTTGGTTTAGTAATTGGAGTATCAGCCTATGGACTAAAGGGTCCCAGGTTCAATTCCAGTCAAGGGTACATACCTCCTTTGCAGGCTCCATCCCCAGTCATGGTGAGTTGGGGGGCAACCAATCAATGTATCTCTCTCACATCGATGGTTCTCTATCTTTGTCTCTCCCCCTCCCTTCTACCCTGTCCAAAAGTTAATGGAAAAAATATCCTTGGGTGGGATTTAACAAACAATATAAAATAAAATAAAATAAATAAAATAATAAAATAAAATAATAAAATAATAAAATAAAATATAGTAAAATGAAATAAATAAAATAATTACTCAGTTGGCATGTAGTGTATAATCTGCTTTGAAAATATCAGTTTACCATGAATTAGGATATACTTGAGATTCTTATTAACTTATACAATAGTTAAGTTTGCACGAAGTGGTTTCTAAAACATATAAGTGAACATTAAAACTTATTTTTTACTGACTTGTATTATGTTTAAAATATGTTCCCATGGGAATAAATTAACCCCAATGCATAATAAAATTATAACTTGCAGATCAAAATATTTGGTGCAAAGGATATTATGTAACTATGAGAGCAACCTATGCACATTTAACTCTACTACATAAATGCAAATTTCTTTAGTCAAATGGAAAATTAATCCATATGATCTTTACATCCCCTACATGGTTAATTTCCATCTTGCTGGGAGTTCTCACTGCTTCTGTTTCTTATGCTATTCTTTGAAGTATTTAGCATAATGCTAACTGAAAGAGTCACATTAGAAATTTTTTTCAATGGAATTTAGAAGAACTGTTTCTGTTTTCTATTCTAATAGTAAAAGCATTACTATTTCTTTAAGTTTGGTAGTTTTATGTCTATAAATATTTTTGACATGTGATTAATTGATAACTAAGCTATTATAACTGCTTAACTGAATTCTGAAAAATAATATTCAGCAGGTTGATTGAAGTAAAAAAGATACTAGGATCTTTATTACATATTTTCATTCTGCGTAAGGAAAGTTAATCCATACAGTAGAGTATATTCTATTGCTGCAGGAGAAATTGTAGTACTGGGACCTTCATTGAATATAAAAATAAAAGTCCAATAAATGTGCCATGAAAGGATATGACTTGTGATCTTATTTTAGTAACATAGATACCATTTCCTTCAGAAAAAAATATTTTCTTTTGCAAATGAGTTTTAGGGATTTTATTATTTTATTGTTAACTTAATTTTTTCTTATTATCATAATAAAAGCATTGGGTTACAACTGTTAGCAGTGAAATGCCACCAGAATGGTACTGGCAATTGACCTCAGTTTTGCAACCTCGATATTTGAGTTCTGGCTAAGAAAGAATTCAGAGCTAAGACTCAAATACAAATAAAAGTTTATTTAGAAAATCACAGAGGTAGAAGAAGTGATCCAGGTTGGCTGTGCAGATTCAGGAAACAAGCTACAGAGGCAAAAGGAAGGCCCTTGGGGCTTAGGAAACAAAAGGCAAGGGAACACACCTGGAGGAAGGAGAGGAGGAAAGTTGTGGGCATGCTCCAGAGAGAGAGAAGTGCACCCTGGAGAAAGAAAGGGGTGAGGAAGGCAAGGACATGCTTAAGGGAGAGTGCATGTGCTGAGTCCTCCATCCTGAGAGTTTTATCTGTTCTCTAAAATTGTGGATCTTAGGGAAGGTCCCAAGAGAGGACCTTCATGAAATATTCATCAGCTCTCCAGGTGTGTCCTTTCAGAGTCATGGTCTCCACTGATTGGTATTCACTAGAGCAGAGGGTCTTTTGTCACTGCAGCTGGTCCTGATGTCAGCCATGGTGTCTCCCTGCCTGGCCTTGCTGCCTTTCTGGGCCTGGAGGTGAAACACAACTGAGGCCTAGATGTTACCTGTAGTTTGACCAAAACTGTCTCTGTGATCAACAGACCCAAGACTCTGTTCCTAAGATTATTTGAGGTGGGTCAAGATCTCATTGTCTTCAGGGCTTGATGCTTAAGGGAATGGCTGTGCAAGGGCTTGTGTGGGAGTCATATGAAGCTATCCTTTCAGCCATTTGTTCCTCCTCTAAAAGGATCTACCCCATGACTAGCAACATGCTAGGGGAGGAAAGGTCAGGGGAGGTTCTGGACTACATGACCAGTGATATGAAAGGCCAGGGCGTCTAAACCTCATGACCAGTGATCCACCAGGTTAGGAAAGGTCACCTTGGGTGTGAGGGCCTTGTTTTCTCAGTTTTTCCCATTGCTAGGCACTTGGGGCCTTCCTGGTACCGGTCTAAACC